GTTTATTTGTTTTAGATTGAGATATTTTTTATTAAAAAAATGAATTTAAAATAATATTTCAAACTCATTTAATTTATTTATTTATTAGCTTTTAATTTAATTTAATTTATTTTACTTTTTATTATTTATTCTTCTTATTATTTTTATATAACAATTTAAAATATATTATTTTATTTAAAAATTTTATTCTATTTATTTTTTAGTACTTATGGTCTAGAAATAATCAATAAAACAAAATAGTTGAAAGTAAAGTGTCTCAAATCAAAAAGATTAGTTGAATTAAAAATATTGATAAATAATAAATACGAATATATTTGAATACTTTAATTAAAAATGTTTTATTTTATAATATTTTGTAATTTTATAAATTTACCAAAAAAATAAAATAAATTTTATATAATTTTTATATTTATAAAGGATTTTTCTGTAAAAAAAAATTAAAAAAAAGTTGTTAACCCTAATTTTGAATGCTAATAAATTATTTATTTATTAAATTATTTTGATTATTGATTTGAAATTTGGAAAAATAATTCAAAATATTTTTTTATTATTTTTAAGAATTCTAATAAATAATTAAAAATTATTACTAAAAAATGAAAAAATAATTTATTTTTAAATAATTATGAAAAATTCATTCATAATTAAAATGAAGGTTCTTATTCAAATTAATTAATTGTATTTTGAAATATCAAAAAATTAATATATTAAATTTATTGCTATTATTGAATGAATTATATATAATAAAGTACAAATTATTTGATTTTGATCATCAATAAATAACAAGGTATTTATAAAAATAGGAATTAGTATATTAAAGCAAATCTTTTTTAAGAAAAAAGCTGTATTTAGCAAAGCAAGTAAAAAGTAAAGGTAAAAGTTTAGTAAAATAACTAAAAAAGTTAAGAACCAGTCAATTAAATAATGAGTGTCAAGTAAACTAAGAAATAAATTGCTAACCTAGTTGTAGACTGTAGCATGAAGTACGTCAGTGTGATGAAATTTTTTGATCTCATGAAGATCTAACAATAACACTATACAGATTTTACATATGCAGGAAATGGAGCATTTGCATTTGTGCTTAAAGCAAATAACAAAAAAATAAACTAAATCGTAGCTCTCAAAGTCGTTGAATGCGATAGTAATAATATACCCTTAATGGAGGAAGTGTAGAAAGAATATGAAATGCTCCAATAACTATCTAGTAAGTACATCGTTAAGGTATTTGGTAGTTTCTTTTTAACAGTAGAAGATAACTCTGATGATGATGAAAGCAATAATGAGGAGGAAAAAACTGTTGAAAATAAAATTAAAAAGGAGAAAAATGAGAGAAAGATTTTCTTTGTAATAGAACAAGAATTCTGCTAAAGTAATATTTTCCCAACATTTTTATTTACAAAGATTTGCGTAATACATTTAAAGTAGATTCAAAAATTTTATATAAGGTTTGACTTTAATACTTTTTACTCAGTTTGAAAAGACTTTATTTGATGCTTTTTTATTGAATTTTGGCATAATAATTAAGTTGAATATACAAAAATAAGATTTACTTAATTTTTAAGAATTCTGTTGAATTATCAAAAATAAATAAATAAATCATTCATTTTTTCATTATCTTATTTCGCCATTTTCAAGAAGTGAAATTAAATCAACTCATTTCTTAATTAAATTTTTCTTTTGGTATTTGAAAATGAATTAAATAGAAAAAACAAAAGAAATTGCATTCATTTGAATGAATAGATTTTTGAAATAAACAAATAATCCATTTATTTATTTGTTTTTAATTTATTAACTTATTTCGCAATTTTTAATAAGTGTATTCCCCTTAATAATTAAGTAATATTTATCATTCATTTTCTCTATCAATATTAAAATTTTTTCATTTATATTGTCATTCAATATTCTAATTAATTTTCCTTTGATTTTTCTTTAATTTTTAATTTTCATTTAGATTAAAATAGAGACTTACATTGATTGAATTCATTAAGTATTAATTTTTTATATTATTTTCATTAAATTTTTTTAAAAATAAAAAATAATATGCAAGCTAATCAAACTGCATTGAGTAAACCACCCATTTTAATTTTTAAACAAACCAAGTATTTTAAAATAAAAGATATTAATTTTTAAATAAAATAAATTTAAAAGTTATAAATAACTTTTTTTGCTAAATCTTTTGAAGAAAGTATTCCAATTATTAAATGCTCTTATAAATATAAAAAGAGATAAATAAAAAGAAACTTTATTGTTTTTTAAAAGAACTGCTCCATTTTTAATTTTATTAAACTCAAAAATTTAATACATTCCTAAAAAGCTATATTAATTGATTTGCAATTTAGTATTAAAATTTTTGTCAAAATGCCAAAATAAGTCATGTTTTTGTAGGTAAAAATTTTACCCAATAATAAAATAGAATCAAAAAATCTGAAATTCATATTTACCAAAAATATTATTTGCATTTTTTTTATTAAAACAAATCTCTCAAAATATGGAAAACTATGATGAATTCTTTGTTCTTAAAATAGTTGGATTTTTTCAAATCTTGTTATTAAATCATATTTAACTTATTAATTAAAATAGTAATATTTAGCAAAACAAAAGTAAACCATTTTAAATATGAAAGTATATTTATCTTAAATTACTCATAATTGAAGCAAAATTTTATTAAACAAACTTAAAAAATAAATAACTAAAATACACTTTGAAGTGCTATTTTAAAGCATAATAAAGAAAAAAAGTTTATTTAAAACAAAATAGAGTAGATTTTAGAATAAACTAATAAAAAAATATTATTTTAAACACAATTAAGGTTTAGCCAATTCGAAATTTTTATTTAAATTGGTAAAACTTTAATTTTTAAATTTAAAAAACTGATATTTTCAAAACAATTTTAAAATATAAACATTCTTTCAGATTAAACTCATAGAAATTATTTTCAATTCTATAAACTTAAATTTAATCCAAAGTTTTCTATTTTAAATTTATCTAAAATTAAAAAAAAAGTGTTTATTTCATAATACAACCTTAAATTTTAGATTATGTAAAGAAATTTTGTAAAACTAAAATTAGAAGTAAAACAAATAAAAATAGCTTAGATAGATATTAGAGAAATAATTAAATGTGTTATTCTTTAAGTTTATCTTTAATTGCTTATAAAATAGGATCAAATAAATACCTTTTTACATAATTTAAGAATGAAAGTCGTTTGAGTTAATCCTTATTTTTTGAAATAAAAATTCAAATCAAAAGAAATAATTGATTTCATATAAATTTTTACTTTAAGTTTTTAAGTTAGATACTAATTAGTATAGATATCTGATTTAATTCTAATTTTGGAAGAGTTGAAAAATATGTCATATTTTTATCTACTTTGATTGACATTTATGAATTAAAAAAATATTGGATAAAAATAAATTTTAGAAGAAAAATTATTTTGGCTTAAATCAGAAGCTTGGTATAAATGAACAAGTTTTGATATTATTTTTACAATTTGCATTTATATAAGTTGAAACGAATATTAGTTAGCATACTAAATTAATTATTTTTTAATAATAATATTTATATTTCAACTTATTTCTATTCTTTTAAGTAGATAAAAAATAAATATTCTATGAAATAATAAATTTAGTTTAGTAATAATTAAATATTTTTTTAATTTTTTATCTAAAAGAAAAAATATAAGTTAGTTCAAAATATATTTTATTTTTATAAATGATTGAATTAAAAAAATTAAAAGTTTTTAGCTAGAAATAAATAGTTAATTAAAATAATATTTTTTAATTATTATCTAAAATTAGAAAACCTTGAAACTTACATCTAAGAAAATAGATAAAAGAATCTTGAACTATCAAATCAAGAAAAAGAAATCATGGTTATCTAAATGCTAGATTCTGTAGCTTATCTACATAGATTTGATATTATTCATAGAGATATTAAACCTTCAAATTTTTTGCTTTTGTTTGATTAGGATGGAATTCCAATAATCAAAATATGTAATTTTTTTATAATTAAAAATGTGTTTCTAATTTAAATTTTTACTATAAAATTCTAATAAACTAAATAAAAAATGAATGAATAAGTATGTTTATCTCATCCAAAAAGAATTTTCTAAAAATTTTTATAAGTATATGGTAAATAATCTAATTTTATATAGGATATAATAAATAATTAATTAAAATATTAAATACAAACAATTTAAATCCTATTTCCTTTTTAATTATCTTAGGCAATTTATAAAATATCAGGTTTCACATATGATTTGTGATTTTGTTGATAATTATTTTTATTAATATTCATAAATCCATTTTAATGCTATTTTAAACGCATTTTTAAGTTTAAAAAGTTTTAAACTTTTATTTACAATATATCTTAGATATCTATCATATTTAATATTACCAAAGTAAGTAATTAAGTGATAAAAAATAAATATTCAAAATTATAAGATAAATTTAAATGTAA